CACCTTCTGAGATATTGCATTGAGGAATGCACATAGCTTCACAATGGCTAATCGGACGTTTTCCGGTAGAAGCCCCTCATTGCAACCGGAAGCAGTTGCGTCATAATCACGTGGCAGTCATGAGACTTTAGGTTCTGAAACTTTTTCTCTGCCATATTTATTATTCCCTTTATATTCGACGAGAAGCCAGTCGGGACCTTCATACTAAGCAGGCATTCAAAGAAGATTTCCTTCTCTTCTTTGGTAAGAGCATAGCTGGCAGGACCTTCATACTGCTTTGGAGGCATGCCGTCTTTTTCGTGCAAACGTTGCAGGTCCTCCCGTGCCTCAGCTGTATCTTTTGTCTTACCATACACGCCCAAGAAGCCTAGCAGGTTCACGCAAAGGTTCTTCGTCACGTGCATCACGTCGATCAAAGAGCGGACCTCTAGGTCTTTCCAGTAGGGTAGGTCCCAAAATATAGATTTCTTCTTCCACATGGGTGCGTGTCCCCCAGCGTCACTCGGAACAGCTAGTCCGCCAGGACCCTTTCCAAAGATTACGTGTAAATCATTGACCATAGCAAGTACGTGATCACCGGTACGCATGGCGGGCTTCTTCCGGTGATCTGCCTCGCCTTTGAAATGCTTGCCTTTCTTTCGACATTGATGGTTGGTCGGAAGAAATCAACGATGGCCCAGGTACACATTCTTCCTGCAGCTTGCCAGGTATATACTATCGGTGTCAAGTAAACAGTGCGTGCATGCGTGGTATCCCTTGTTTGTCTGTCCTGAAAGGTTACTGAGAGCGGGCCAATCGTTGATGGTCACGAACAGCAACGCCTTTAGGTTAAATTCCTCCTGTTTGTGCTCATCCCACGTACGTACACCGTTTCCATTGCACAGCTGTAAAAGTTCGTCAACTAATGGCCTTAGGTACACATCAATGTCATTGCCGGGTTGCTTAGGGCCTTGGATGAGAACTGGCATCATAATGAACTTCCGCTTCATGCACATCCAAGGAGGAAGGTTATACATACATAGAGTCACGGGCCAGGTGCTGTGATTGCTGCTCTGCTCCCCGAAAGGATTAATGCCATCCGCGCTTAAAGCAAACCATAGTTCCTTGGCTCACTTGCAAACTCATCCCAGTACTTTCTCTCGATTTTTCTCCACTGCGACCCGTCAGCGGGTGCTCTCAACTTCCCGTCTTTCTTACGGTCCTCACTGTGCCATCGCATCAACTTGGCATGCTCTCCGTTTCTGAACAGACGTTTCAACCGTGGTATTATAGGAGCATACCACATCACCTTCGCAGGAACCCTCTTCCTGGGGGGCTCGCCGTCAACATCATCAGGGTCATCTCGTCTGATCTTATACCGTAATGCACCGCATACCGGGCATGCGTTTAGATCCTTGTACGCACTGCGGTAGAGGATGCAGTCATTAGGGCATGCATGTATCTTCTGCACCTCCAATCCTAGAGGGCATACGACCTTCTTTGCTGCGTATGTACTGTCAGGCAATTCGTTATCCTTTGAAAGCTTCTTCTTCAATATTTTAAGTAGCTTCTCAAATCCTTTGTCAGGCACAGCATTCTCTGCCTTCCACTGCAGCAATTCCAGTACGGTACCGAGCTTTGTGTTGCCATCTTCGCAATTGGGGTACAACCCTTTTTGTGGTCCTCTAGCATGCGATCGAACTTCAGCTTCTCCTTTTGACTTTCGCATTGCGTCCTTGCATCGACAATGACCCGGCGGAGATCATCATCATCGGGCACATCGTCTGGTTCCTCTTGATCTTCAGCAGCTTCGCCCGTTGCAGCATCATCGTGCACATCGTCTGGTTCCTCTTGATCTTCTGGAGCATCACAGTATTCAGGGGGCACATAGTTGTCATCGTACTCTTCTTCTTCGCCGTCTTCCATCATAACCCCTATTTCTCCATGGCTCGTCCAAACATTATAGTGTGGCATGAAACCCTTGTAAAGCAGGTGGGTGTGGAGGATTTTCCGGTCAGAGTAAGACTTCGTATTCCCACATATAGGGCATGGACAACACATAAAACCATTCTGCTTATTTGCCTCAGCCACTTCAAGAAAATTATGCACGCCCTTAATGTACTCGGAGGTGTGTCTTGAACCGTACATCCATTGCCGGTTCATCTGTGTGCATTATATATAATTAAGTGTGTCAAAAATCATTACAGAACATCATGAATAGATAATTAAGTGACCAAATTAAAAGAAGTTCATCATCACATTAAAACCAAAGTACATACATAGTTCTCATCTAACAACATAAAGCTCTGCAGAGCATCTAAATTAATTAAACCATACACTGAAACTATGTAAAACATTTCAATGCGAAAACAAGTGCGATCATAATCGCAACCAATGTAACAACTGGTCCAACGGCATAATGATACCAAGCCTCGGTATGAATGGCATATTTTCTAATCTTTCTAATCTTCAAGCGCATTGCATCCATCTTGATCTTGTGATCATCGACGACATCCGCAACATGCAACTCCAATATCATCTTCTCCTCCTCAATTTTTCTAATTTTTTCCTTTAACAAATTGTTTTCTTCTTCAACTAAATTTAACCTCTCGACAATAGGGTCAGTTGGAATTTCCGGTTCAACAACCTCCTAGATGAATAAAATCTATGTCACGTTGGTCGGCATAATTGTCATAAACAATAAATGAACCAATAGTTATGAAAAGATAATATATACCACATCCGAATCATAGACAGGACGAGGGCCGACGGGGGCGGATACCAAAACCATCGCACTATATAAGATGCAATAATAAAAGTAAGAAAATTATACAAGTATATATCTATCTAAACATACAAATAAGAATATTTTTCCTTTCAGAAAAAAGATAAGAACAAGAGGCTCACCACGATGGTGCCGGCGATGAGATCGGTGCGGGTGATCGACGACGTTGAAGACGGGGACGGGGCGTGACGGACCGCTAAACCTAGACAAATATGTAGGAAAATGGAGCTTGGCGGTCGAGCTTGGAGAGGAGAAACACTAAGTAGTGTGGCTCGGGCATTCCATCGAACACCTTGTGTGCATAGGAGCTGAGCTAGAGCACCACCAAGCCCTCTCCCCCTCGGCCAGAAAAAACAGAGCAGTGTGCTCTGCTCTTGCGCGAGTTGGGTATATATAGGCACCACCATTGGTCCCGGTTAGTCGCATGAACCGGGACTAAAGGTTTGCCTTCGGTCCCGGTTCAAGCCACCAACCGGGACCAATTGTGGTGGGCCAGGAGTGCGGCCCATTGTTCCCGGTTCGTCCCACCAACCGGGACCAAAAGGTCCAGACGAACCGGGACCAATGGCCCACGTGGCCCGGCCGGCCCCCAGGGCTCACGAACCGGGTCAAATGCTCCCATTGGTCCCGGTTCTGGATTGAACCGGGACTAATGGGCTGGACCGGCCTGGACCATTGCCCCCTTTTCTACTAGTGAAGAGGAATTGGCGGGATTCTTTCTTGAACACGTCATCAGTAAAGCCGGAGAATACCATGTGGAAGTTGATTTCAAATGCTAGGGGTTTGTAATTAAGAGATCTTATACATATTGTACATGTATGTAGCCAGTAAAAAACTTGTTGTTCGACCAATCTCTCGGAGAAGGAGAGGTCGATCGATCACTTCTCTCGGTATGCATGATGAACTTCTGTACTGAATGGTTCTCTCGATCACTTATGTATATATACTACGTAGCGTCGACCAAGCACGGACATAAGAGAGGACACTTCTCTCTATTAATTAGCTAGCTAACACAATATACGAAACATCTAAATTAACCCCCCAAAACCCCCAACCCCCCTCCTTTCAAAAAAACAAAAACCCCAGCCACTGGAATGCAGACACGTGGATGCCTTTTGGTCCCGGTTGGAGCCACCAACCGGGACCAAAGGCCCCCTGACTGGGCTCGGCGCACAGGGCCACGTGGAGGCACATTGGTCCCGGTTCGTGTTTGAACCGGAACTAATGGGTTGAGGTATTAGTAACGACCCATTAGTCCCGGTTCCTGAACCGGGACTAAAGGCCCTTACGAACCGGGACTAATGGGTGGTTTTCTACTAGTGTTACCTTCCTTGTCTGAGTAATGGTGGTCTTGGCGACTGAGGAGTGGTCGCCGAGTGGACCTCCTGGTATACGCATCCGAATGCGAGTGTGGCCTTGAGACCTACCAATGATGATGTGGGGCCCTAGGTGGACCCCATATGACAGGTCCTTGACCCTACCTGTAGTAGGTGACCTCATCACCACCTTCTTTACAGCACACCGATAGCGGTGCCAGGTGCCGTTAGTCGCCCTGTCGCCTCATTGGAGAAGGCAATGCGTAGTGCGGCCGCGGGGCTCCGCGGGGCAGTAGCTTCAGACCCTTGCCACTAGCGACGCTGTGAGCAATGCGGAGCCTAAGCTCCTCGTCTGGCACGGACGAGCTCGAGGAGTCAGCGGCCAGCTTAGCCCAGTCATCAAATTGGAGGCGATATCGGATCTGCTTCCGGCCATGACGGAGAGGGTGGGAGAGATTGGGGAGAGGAAGGTATGAGACGGGAGTGGAGCGGAGAGGTCGAGAGGACTCGAGTTGAGTGGGGTTTGGGCCATGTTTGTGGCGGCTGGTTAGGTGGCTTTTTTGGATCTGTGACCGACAGGCCGCCCGGACGGTTGGGACGGCTACGGGTGCGTAGAAGCTCTAATCGGCATGCAAAAATCATGTAAGCACACACCTGCATGCTTAAATCATTTCCTGACGCTCGATCGCTCATGGGCAGCTTGGCGCCCACCATCTGCTACCAAACAACTAACGAAAAAAGCTTACATATGGGTCCCTCGCCCGGTCGTCCCCTACGTACGGACCGCACACACACAATTCACTTTCGTCTCTCTCTACTCCTGCGCTTCCAAACAATTCGCGCGCGCTTCCGCTCGACTCCCGCCATCGCTCCCGCGAGGAGTGAGGGCGGGCGCGACGACCCGGGAGGCGGCGGGTGTGATGGAGGAAGCGGAGAGAGGCGGCTGGGCGGTGCCGCTCGCAGTGCGGGAGCTCATCGCTGGCGGGGTCGCCGGTGGTGTTGCCAAGTGCGCTGTCGCGCCGCTTGAGCGCGTCAAGATCCTCCTCCAGGCACGTATTACCAATCCTCTATCTGCACCGCAATTCCCTCTGGGTCCTTCCTTTTTATTTAGAACGAAGACGCCAGATGCGTCCGGCTTTAAATTAATAAAGCCCCAACGACAGCGTAACACACATCAAGTCTTAATACAGCACCAAAAGCTAATCCGGCCTAAACCCACTCAGTTTAGACGAAACTTAACAAGCCACAGTCGGATTACATGGCTGAGCCCTTACAGAGCGCGCAGGCTAGTCAAGCAACCAAAAGGGACCACGGCTAGAACCGTAGTCATGACTCCCTAGCCATTGCGTACACTTGCATCAGACGTTGTTGGGCGGTCTTGATCAACTCAGCATCTTTGCGCCTCCCCAACGGACTCCACCGCTCCAATAGACGGTTGCATTCGAAGATAATATTGGCCGGGTGAGTTGGAAACCAACTCTCTATAGTGAATTTATTCCTAGTTAGCCACATGGTCCAGAGTAATGCCCCTACACAACTCCACAAAACCCGATACCCAGGGCCCTGAATCGCATCTAAGAGGTGTATGAGCTCTGCAGCCGAGCGCGGGTCCACATTGTACACCCGCCGCGGTCTGGACAGCGCTCCACGCAAACCTCGCAAGAGGGCATCGAAAGAACACGTGGTTCGCATCCTCTGGGTCCCCGCACAATGCACACTGGCTGGACCATTACGGTTGGCCACGTTCAAGGAGGTGGGAAGTTTATCACCGAACATTTGCCACATAAAAAGTTTGATTTTTAGAGGCAGCCGCGCTTTCCACAACCCTACAACCACAAGTTGTGCCGGCCCTCGACACATCTTGCGGTATAAGGAGTTAACCGAGAACTTCCCCGAGCTGGTGAGCGCCCAGCTCACCGTGTCAGGTTGGTCCGAGAGACCCACTGGGTCAATCAACTGCAGCAAGGCTGCGAGGTTAGATTGCTCTTGCCAATTAAGTTCCCGCTTAAAATGAATCGCCGGTGGAGTAGCTACGAGTGCCTCGGCCACCGTCATCGCGGGATCGACAACGATAGCATACAGATCCCGGAATTCAGCCCAAAGAGGTTGAGTACCTATCCAAAGATCTGTCCAGAATCGCGCCGACCTTCCGTTCCCTATAGAGAATTTTGCCCCCATGGCAAACGCTGGTTTTATCGCTTGAAGATTATTCCAGAAAGGTGAGCCCCTTGCCCTCCCCTCAAAGAAGTTCCTATTAGGGAAATATTTGGCCCTTAAGAGATCAACCCACAGACCGGTGGCCCCATGCACAATTTTCCAGATCCATTTGCACATCATTATGATATTAAGCCATCTGGAGTTGGTGATCCCAAGGCCCCCCATGTCCTTGGCACGTAGAGGTTCCCAATCCTCTATCATGGGCCTTTTGGTGTATACCGAGAGGCCGAGGTACGTAAACGGGAATTTGTCCACTTTGCAGTTGAGCAAATCAGCAAAGCGCCTTCCCTCCTCCGGCTCTACCCCCATCGAGATGACCTTGCATTTGTGGAAGTTAATTTTGAGGCCCGACATGAGCTCAAAACAAAGGCGAATCGCCTTGACCGTAGCAATACTATGAAGGTCTGGGCGAAAAAGCAATAGCGTGTCATCCGCGTATTGCAAATGTGTCACTCCCCCTGGAACGAGGTGGCCTACCAACCCTTGGATATGGCCAGGCGCGGCCGCTTTCCAAAGCATAGCGGACAACGCGTCAACAGAAAAGTTGAACAGGAGAGGGGACATCGGGTCCCCCTGTCTGAGACTGCATTTGTTCTGGAAGAAGTGCCCTACTTCTCCGTTCATAGAGACCGCGGTTTGGCCTCCCGAGACCAATTACATGACGCGGTGAACCCAGACAGCGGAAAATCCACAGCTGACAAGCACCTGGCGAAGGAAATCCAAATTTACCCAGTCGTACGCCTTTTCGAAGTCTAGCTTCAACAGCACAGCCGGTTCCTTAGTGCGCTTAAGTTCGTGGACTATCTCCTGGAGGGCGAGTGGGCCCTCGAGAATATTGCGACCGCGAATGAACGCGGATTGATTGCGATGGATCGCACGATGAGCGATCGGACCAAGCCGATTCACACACCCTTTGGCACAGATCTTAAACGGCACGTTAGTGAGCGCAATTGGACGAAACTATCTAATGTTGACGGCCCCTTGGACCTTCGGAATGAGCGTTAAAACTCCAAAATTAAGACGCACTATATCTACCGTCCCACGCATGAACCCATTGCATGTCTCAAAAATTGGGTCTCTAAGCAGCGGCCAGAAGCGTTTAAACATAGCAACCGGCCACTCATCCGGGCCCGGTGTTGTGTCCACTTTCATACCCATCAGCGCGGCGTCAATTTGTTTGGGTAGAAACGCGAGCCCCAGTTCGTCGTTCTCATACTCCAAAACCCGTTGAGAGACATCCCACACGTCCGTGCGCAGACCAGCCCTCTGGTCCTCGCACGTCCCCATCAAGTTGATGTAAAACTCATAAATGTGGCAAGAGATGTCCTCTTGTCGCAACAGAAGCCCATGTTCCGATTGCAACCTAAGAATAGCGCACTTCCGACGACGGCCGTTAGTGTAGGCGTGAAAATATTTGGTATTGGCGTCACCTTTAAGTGATTGCTGGGTCCTTCCTGATTACTACGTTCTCAAAGGATGGGAAGCGTCGTCAGTAACTCTTGATTGCTGAACTAGTGCTTGATCGCAAACCCTATTTATATTCTTAATTAAGCTCCTCACAGTAACTTTGAGTGTATAATGATGAGACAAGCCAGCCAATATCAATTGTTGAAATGAAAAAACTTTGTAAGGAAGAGGTCTCTTGGAGTACTAATATTTTCTTCTTCTATGAGGCGAATACTCACTGAGTTATTGACATTTATGCTTGTACAGAACCACCTCCCTGCAACTTTGCATGGTAGTTGTGTAACCCTCATGTAGTTAAAAAATTTATGTTTGTGCTTTCAGACTAGAAGAGCGGAATTCCGTGGGTCTGGTTTGGTTGGATCGTTTTGGACAATCTATCGGACAGAAGGCCCCTTAGGGTTTTACAGGTTTGTCACTTCTTAGTATACTAGTGAGTTGAACATGGTTTGCATATGGGTTGTGAGATGTCGTTACAACACAATGTTGACAAATACTCTAAGAAAACACAATTTTGACAAATAACGGACACTTACATATTATGTGCATAAAGTTCAAGATACAAATTTCTTACTAATGATAGCTACATTTCTTGAAGAAGGGAAATCTTTGTTGCATAGCGCTCCAAGATGTGTATATAACACATTATAGGAACCTCAAGGATTATTTTGTTGGTATGAATATGCAAAGATAGTGTTGCGATATTTGGTTGAAATTCTCTGAAAAGATATATGTACTTTGAGAAATTGTTGATCAGAAGTCTTCTGCCTTGATTAAAAGTTGACACGTAATCTCATAAATGGATAAACTTTCATTCAAGCAAGAAACTCTAATGAAGCAAGATCGTGCATGAAAGATTCTAGAATAAATGAGAAGTGTGTAAGGATAGTATATGTGACAATTACAAGGTTGTACTAAGTTTTTAATTATTAGAAACTTCTAGATAGTACACATGGCATAATCTGATGTAATGGATAGAAAATCGAATGGTCACCAACGCTCGGATTTGCCGCCTCTGGACCGTTGGATTAAGTTCATCCAACGACCCATATTCAAACTTATTCTTTTTTTTTGCGGGAACATATTCAAATTTATCCACATACTATATAATGGTGTAGATACGTAAGAAATGTAGTCTAGCAATACATACTTGTATAGTGCAAACGTAAGCTGACTTTGAATTTCTTTTCGTAAGGGGCAATGGTGCCAGCGTTGCTAGGATTGTTCCTTATGCAGCTTTGCATTACATGGCATACGAAGAGTATCGCCGATGGATCATTCATGGTTTTCCTAATGTTCAACAAGGGCCTGTTCTTGATCTAGTGGCTGGATCAATAGCTGGAGGAACAGCAGTCCTGTCCACATATCCGCTTGATCTGGTTCGCACGAAGTTGGCTTATCAGGTTAGCTATTTAGTTCTTGTATCCTTAACTGCAAAGGACAACACTACTTGTCCAGTATGGTTCTAAAAGTTAGCTTTTGATGTATCACATCAACTTTCTCTCTGAAATAATATAACAGCAACGATTTTTGGTGATTCTGATGCTGCTGTGTTTGAGTCGACCTGTCTAGCTACTAGTTTGCTGTTAGTCTTATATGAGTATTGACTCGGTTCATTCAGTTTGCGGTACTGTACCTGTTCAACTCAGCACTAACTGATTAATAATCAGCTGCAGGTCAAAGGTGCAGTGAACCTCAGTTTAAGAGAATCTAAGCCCTCCGAACAGGTTTACAAAGGGATCCTTGATTGTTTGAAAACAATTTACAGGCAAAATGGCTTGAAAGGTCTATACCGTGGCATGGGTATGCTATTTTTTGATTTCCAAATTTTGCTCAAGGCCAAGATTCTATTCTTGGGACAAAAGTCTTTGATGTTATTGCCAAGATTTAATTATGTTGCTATATTGACTGACTTATTGGTCTCCAGCTCCATCATTATATGGAATCTTCCCTTATTCCGGTCTTAAATTCTATTTCTATGAGAAGATGAAGACTCATGTTCCTGAAGAGCACAGAAAAGATATTATACCAAAACTTGCTTGTGGGTCAGTTGCTGGTTTGTTAGGACAGACAATAACGTATCCCCTTGATGTTGTTAGGCGGCAAATGCAGGTATTATTACCTTCATTGTTTGTGGGTGTTAAACATCTTGGTTGTTCTAAAGAAGATTTTGATGCATCGATTTTAGGTTCAGGCGCTCTCATCGTCCAACCAAGTGAAGGGGAAAGAAACATTTAGAAGCCTTGCTATGATAGTGAAACATCAAGGTTGGAAGCAACTGTTTTCAGGACTATCTATCAACTATTTGAAGGTGAGACACTTATAACACTAATTAGTAGTTGTTAAAATGCCATGCTCTTTCCTGATGACCAATGTAGACATATGCGGCTAGAACACTGCAATTCCCATTTGTTGTCAATGATAGTTATTAAAAATTGAAAAAGACTAGCCTATAACTTCTTGAGTGTACTGTCATTCCAAATCTCCACAATCCTTTGTTCATTTTGCACTTGTGCTGTTATGTTAATTTAATAATCCACTAGGCTCAGATTTTCTTAGTTCGGAATATTTCATACGATTGTTGCTCCCTCTATGTGATCACGCTTTAAGAAGTTCTAAATCGGAATATCCAGTGCCATGCTTAACAACTATTGATGGATATAGTTACGCACATTGCATAGGTAACGTGCTTCTTCTTTTAGGTACAGTTTGTGTTCATGGTAACATCATATTTTTTTTCTTAATTTCTCCGTTTTTACAGGTTGTCCCGTCGGCAGCCCTAGGGTTTACTGTGTACGATTCCATGAGGGATTGGCTTAATGTTCCATCTAGAGAGCAAGCGCCTGTGGTTGTCCCTGTGTTGTCAGAAGACGGAAGTGATGCTGCCCCTGTTCACTCCAGTTAGAACAAGTTACCATTTCTGGTGGTTCAACGCCTTCACTGCCTTAATAGTTATAATATTCATAAGCATGTAGCATTGTACTCTTTCATGGAGCGGTAACCCCACAATTCTTACGCTTGCCTAGAATAATACAAATAATAGTTCGACCTTCAATAAGCCCATAAGCAGCGCAGCTGCAGATGCGAAACCTAGGCTTGTATCAAAAGAAGTAGAAGTAGTGGTAGAATTCCACCCTGATCCTGTCAAAGAAAGGTAGAATTCCTTTCTGTCAAAAAGAACAAGTATAATTCCTTGCAAATTACTGATTCGTGTGGAAATTCACATTGCATAGATTCGGTATATATGATTGGATAGCTTGTACCAACACGCACTGGTGCAGAGACGTGATATACAAACGGTTTCAACCCCCTTTCCTCGACGGAGTTTTAGACCGTCCTCTGACCTATGTGTGCGATAGGGGGGTCCTTCCCACTAGGGATGAAAATGGAGTGGAAAATTTCTGCTTTTTTGGAGGAAAAATGAAAACAAAGAGGAAATATGAAAATGGAAACGGAAATTTGCAAAATGGAAGTGGAAATGGAACTTTTTATGCGGAAACGAAACAAAAACGAAATATTTTTTTTCGGTGGAACAGACGTGGAAACGAAACTTTCCGTTTCTGAGAATATGGAATTTCTGTATTTAATATAGGCATATGTCTACTTTGTAGCCAACCACCAAACAACACATGATGGCACAATGAGCATAATGGATCAGTTGAAATCCAACTTCCACTATCACAAATGTACTCAACTAGACCCTATACACAATTGTCCAGTACTATAACAATACTACACTAAGTTGCTACCATAATCATATTATTTTGTAGCCATGTTACCAATTCATTAAATTTGTTTGTTTTTGTGTGTATTCTCTATGCTAAGGGGCTTTTAACTTCCGGTCAACACCTACTTCTGTTTCTGTGTCCGCTTTGTATTCGCCTCGTGTCTGTTTTCGATGGTATTTATTTTAGTATTCATTTCTAGGGTTTCTGTATTCGTTTCTGCTTCTGCAAAAAAATGAAAATAAATGTGGTAGTACTCAGTTCCGTTCGTTTATACTCCGTATTACTACCTACTTCTCACATGACCCAGAAACCAACGACGATAGGTCCTCTTGTCACACATGCAGGGCAAAATGAGTTCGTGTGCGATCGGACTAGCCATCATAGACAATTATACAGGCTCAACCGTTTCTATTCGTACATACATCCCACACAGTAAATCCGAGAAAAACGTTTCCGTTCGTATGTATATCACACATGATTTTTTATGCGGAAATGTTTGTGGAAGGTGGTCTACTGAAAACATTTGTCGGGAGGAAGTCGTGCGTGATTATTCATTGATCCAATACACGTACTTTCTAGAAACCGTGTGGGTTTGTTTGAGTTCATCACCCACAGTGTTGTCTGAGAAACCATATGCAATAGAAAACCCCAATAATCAGGCTAATTGACCTATTATTCATAATACATTTAGTAAACAAATTAACATTTCATATCAAACACATCATACATTTCATATATGTATTGGGGAATATGGAATTTCCGTTTCTTAATATAGGCATATGGCTGCTTTGTAGCCAACCACCAAACAACACATGATGACACAATGAGCATAATGGATAATTTGAAATCCAACTTCCGCTATCACACATGTACTCAACTAGACCCTATACACAATTGTCCAGTACTATTACAATACTACACTAAGTTGCTACCATAATCATATTATTTTGTAGTCATGTTACCAATTCATTAAATTTGTTTATTTTTGTGTGTATTCTCTATGCTAAGGGGCTTTTAACTTCCAGTCAACACCCACTTTTGTTTCTGTGTCCGCTCTGTATTCATTTTGTGTCTGTTTTCGATGTTATCCATTTTTGTATTCATTTCCGGGGTTTATGTATTCGTTTCCGCTTCTGCAAAAAAAATGGAAACAAATGTGGTAGCATTCAGTTCCATTCGTTTCCACTCCATTTTACTCCCTACTTCCCACACGACCCAGAAACTGACAGCGATAGGTCCTCCCATCACACATTCGGGGCAAAACGAGTTTGTGTGCGATCGGGCTAGCCATCATAGATAATTATACAGGCCCAATCATTTCTGTTCGTAAGTACATCCCACACAGTGAATCCGAGAAAAATGTTTCCGTTCGTATGTATATCACACACGAGTTTTTATGCGGAAACGTTTGTGGAAGGTGGTCTGATGCAAACATTTGTCGGGCGGAAGTCGTGTGTGATTATTCATTGATCCAACACACGTACTTTCTAGAAAACGTGTGGGTTTGTTTGAGTTCATCGCCCATAGTGTTGTCTGTGAAACCGTATGCAATAGAAAACCCAAATAATCAGGCTAATTGACCTATTATTCATAATTTATTTAGTAATCAAATTAACCTTTCATATCATACACATGATATATTTCATATCCGTATTACGGCAACCAGCATTTCATAATTGAATTATATCAGATAGCTTCAACACTCAGTTACACCATATAGGCATAGCTAGGTACACCATTACATAACAACAACAAGTTTCATTGCAACATCTAAAACCTTTGAAAAGTAACATCATACACGGTAAATTGACATATGAATTTCATGTGGAAAACTGCTGAAGCGGAAGACGAATATTGAGCCTTCAGTGATGTTGAATGTCCTTCCAACTTTAGGCCAGTGGATGTGGATAATTTCCTGCCCAACCTTCCGCCTCTTTAAGAAGAGTTCAATATTTTACCATGGGTGTTGAATGAATACCTTCCTTGCCTCTTGACCATGCAGATGGTCAGAGAGGTAATCATCGGTAACTACTTTGAAACGGACAGAAAATAAATATATGCATAAATATATGTTCTAAATTTTGAAATGGCACCAAAGGAAAAAAACTAAGGTGAGTTAGTATCATCCTATAGTTGAAGGATGTCTTCTTCATTGTGGTAACAAAGATCTTGTTGTTATTCGTTTCTAGTTTCTTTATCCTAATAATCTTTCTGAGTTTGTTGATTTGACTGATATTTATGGACATCTCATTTCCCCATATGCAAAATGAGTCGAACAATGGGTCTAAACCTTTGACAGTAGGACCTACATGTGCAATACCAAATTGTTAAAAACCTAAATATTAGAATGGTTCCTGCAATTGCACAATAATGTGATGTTGGACATAGGACCATGCATGTGCAAACCTCGATGGTAAACCTCATCAGTGCCTCCCATTGTTTTCCTGCAACACATATAAGGCAGATATTGATCAGGTTAAGTGAGAGTTGGCATGGGATCAGTAAAATATGTTAATGAAAAAATAAAAAAATTGCTTATCCAGCAAATTAATTCAAGCCGCATGAAAAAGGGAATTAACCAAACAAAGCATGCTAAACAATTTGGAAATATAGCAATTGTATATGCTTCTCATGTATTTAGTACATCCAAGTTCGATTTATTTCTCACCTGCATAGCAATACAAAATTGTACCCGCAACAAATGAACATCACATTGCAGAATTGAACCAAACAGTTAACTGGATAGCGCAAAAAATGAACCAAAAACTGAGCACCACATTGCAGAATAGAACGTATACTAGAAGATCAAACAGTTAACCAAACCAATCATGATTAAGAACTACTAGGAAATATAGCAATTGTTGAACCAAACTATTAACTAAACATCATATTTCAGAAGATCAGATTGCATATGAACATTAAAAAGAAAAATTCACTGGAAGGCACCGGCGGTGGCCTCGAAAGAACACCACGAATTGTCGCTTAAATCACCCAACCGCGTAGCGGCATCCGCGCGCAAGGCATTCATGGTGGCCTCGACGGCGAGGTGCTCCTTCAAGATCTGGTGTTCGGCACACATGGCAGCCTCCGCGACCTCATTCGCGCGTGCGGCCGCGATTTGCTTCTCTGCTGCCAGATGTTCGTTGCGCTCTTAGCCATACTGCATGCGAAATGGCTCTGGGCGGCGCTTATTTGGAGGATGAGGCAGCGATTTGGGTGGAAGGTGTCGCGACAGTGGTCGGGGCATGTGGGATGTAGAATGAGGAGGAGGATGGGGGTGGGGTGTGGATTACCTGACTATATCGACGAGACCGCATAACAGGAAGGAGCATCGCCGGCGAGGAGGTGGCGCTGCAAGCAAGCAGTGAAGATTTGAACTTGGAAATGAAAGAGGAAACAATGAAAATGCGGCTTTTAGTCGGGGGGGAGGGGGCGGGGAGCAGGAAGGAGCGTCACCAACGAGGAGGCGGCGCTGCAAGCAAGAATTGAGTTTCTAGGCATTTTCATTTCTTGCTCCAGTGCGTCAAAATGGGTTAAAAAATAATATATCTGTCCTTGGGTGAATGTTAGGTCTCATGCAAGAAATGAGAATGAATTTCAAACATCTGGTCGTCGTGCCTCAGCCGTAAACATTGAGAAATTTGGTTTTAAAATTCCTGTAAATCTAAACATCGCCTGAAAATCATGAAACTTGGCATGGTGTTATGACACGACACCAAAAGTTGTGGTAAAACTTTCGTCCGATTTAAGAAAAGTTATGGTATAAACTTCTCACAAATCGGTGCTTCTCTCAAAAAGCCTCATGGTTCTGAGAGGAAACATGTCACCTCTATATGCGAAATGACATACGCTGCCTCTTCCTGCCTTGATTTATTTCTTCCTGCCTTGATTTATTTTCCAGAGACAACATGCAACTATAGAAGTGTCATCAACGTCGGCGTCCTTGGACTTGTACATGTCCTTATACATGTGCGTGATGGCGTACTTGCGCGGCGTCTGGAGCTCCACCACGTGCAGCAGGTATATGGCCACCAGCGCACTGCGCTTGGGCAGCTCTGCCCGGTGCCAGCGTCAGCATGGCGTGCACGCTGCCCGGTGCCGTGCACACATACCAGCACCCGCAGGTCCCGGAGGCATCTATGTCCTTCCGCTCCGCAAACTGGGTGGCGGTGAAATG